TTCTGGTGCTCTTGCTGCTGCTGGGGATGTTGAGATTAATGCCTGCTCTCTGTGTCCTGAAGAGAAAGGAAGATGCTTTACAGAGCAGAGAACTGCTCTTAAGTGATCCTGAAATGCTCATCTCTTTTGTCCTTGCCTCCATCTGAACTGGGTCTTAATCCTTTTCAACTTGGGTTGGAGATAACAAATTGGCACAGGCTTCAATCTGCTAGGGGCTATGAGATTTATAAACAAAGACAATTGCATCCCCACACCTGGGTGGAAGGGTGCCCCTCTGTGTTGCATAACAGAATATACAAGTTTGGGAACTGCATTAGCACCAATTTCTGCAGCACAACGGTAGGGCCAGGAAAGATGAGGTAAAGCCTGGCTTGCTGATTGAGGCAGGAGTCAGAACCAGCTCTGGCAGGTGGGGCAGGAAGCAGCAGCACCACCACCACCAGCGAGAGCATCCTGGGACAGAATATTCAGGGTGCCTGTAATAGTGACTATGCCACAGTTAAACTGTATAAATACAAATCACATCTCCTGCTACTTATCAGTGTAAAAAGACACAGCAGGTGAATCCTTTCTGAACTTTTTCAGTTGGGGAAAAAAGGGGGGGAGGTTTTTGGCAAGGCAACAACGCTCAATGTAGAGAAGTGGGTAAAGGAAACAGATTCCAGGGCCAAACACAGTTACACCCCATTCCTTCTAAGGTGCCCTCTGTACTAGGAGGGAAGCAAAGGAAGGGTTGGCCACTCTCGGAATAGTGTCCCAAACCCAATCAATCTATGGACTCCTAAAGAAGGTTGGAGAGAAATCAGAGGGTACGAAGGAGCACACGACACGCCAGCCTGTTTCTACTCAAGTGCTGCTCTACAGGAATGGATCCATTTACAGCACAGCTTCTCTCAGGAGCTGAATTCAAGATGCACCATCCCTGGGGCTACTCCACTGTAGGATGTGCATACGTCCTTGACTAGAGGCTGTAAACAGTTTTACAGTGCCATGTCTTGAGCTCCAGGTGAGGGCATACAGGGAGGCATAGCCCTGCTGCTGTTCCAGTTCCTTTTCAACTATGACACATGGAAGGTGAGCAGCCAATAAAGCACCAGTGCGCATAAAACACCTTGAAGAACTCAAGTTACTGTACACATAGGTAGCCTGTGACCTGGGGGATGGACCAGTGTGGGAGACTCCCATGCAGATGTCAGTATAGAAATGGGTGCTGAGAAGGTGGCAGACTGGTGACACCCAAGGTACAGTCAGCTATGGATGCAGGTTGCGTGGTGTAAAGTTGGACAAAGAGACGGTTGCAGCCCTGCAGATGGCAATGTCCTTAAAGAGGGCTACAGCAGTAGACTGTGGGAGATATTTCAAAGGAAGTCAATCAAACCCTCTTGGACAGACAAGCGGGACCAGCTGTCCCTTTCTCCTATTTGCCAAGAATACAAAGATGGGAAGGGCCCTGTTGTTTGACGACTAGCTTTCTTCTTTGAGGGATGGGGTTTAGGATAAAACACTGTGCACAGTGTAACCTTGTTGCTCTAGATTTTGTAGTGCTCATTCTTCTGACTGCAGTGACAGCTATTAGTTAGTCTTGAAGAAGAAAGAGCAGGTAGCCATTGGTTCAAATGGGACATGGGGGTTCCTTGATGCACTAAGGCCCAGGTTTAATTCCCATAGAGGTGATGTGTTCTGGACAGGCAGGAATAACCCCTTAAGGAATGTGGCCTTGGATGGGCAATAACTGAAATGCTTTTGCTGGGTGACAAAGGCTAGAGTGGCCAGCAGTTGTACTTGCAGAGCTTGTTTACAGGCTTTGTGCCTTTAGGGCCAACAGGCTCCCTGACAATGGAGCTTCTGAGGCTTGCAAAAAGTAGTGAGACCACCAGGAAAGGAAGAGTTTCCATGTTTGCAATAAGTCTGTCTCATTTAGTAAGTTGCCTACTACACACGAGTTCCAGTCTACGCCTGGGAAGCATGAGGGAGCCATGCCTTCAGGTTCAGAAGTGTGGGTCTGGGATGGTGCTGGGTGCCAGAACACTGACAGGAGACCCACTATCAAGGGGAGTGTGGAGAGGCATTGCCATAGCAAGATGAATTAGATCCAAATACCACACTTGTTTCAGCCCCAAGGGCCTGTTCTTGCCTAGCAGCTCTGAGGATTAGAGGTATAGGTAAGTAGGGATAGGCCAGGCTGTGGGGCCAAGGAGTTAACAGGGCACCACCTAAGGAGTTGTGCCTTTAATCCTCCCTTTGTATAGAACAGGTGACCTTTTTGCACTGGGCAAGCTTGTGAAGAGGCCTAGGATTGGATGAGACACTGGAAGATGGAGCTGTTGCACTCCCAGTCATAGTCTGATGGAAGGTCCTGCTTAGGGAGTCTGCACCTGTTGGTAAGCCACTGAAGTGTCTATGTGAGGGGACATGTTCAAATACCACAGGATGTGAGAACTAGGATCTTGTGCCTTCTGATCAGTTTACATAATACATAGCTGTGCTCTTGCCCAACATTAGCGGCCAGAGGGTTCCTTTCTGTTGTGAAATAAGTTCCAACGTGGTTAATGGACTACCCTTTGTTCCAGAATGTTGAGTGATCCTTCTTTGAGGACCATTTTCTGGGGAAATCACGTAAATATATGGACCTCCCAAAAGAGCTCTCCAGTGCAAAGAATGTTGTGGTAGGAGACATGAGAATGGAATTTCAGGGTCTTTCCAGAGACTAGTACTCCTGGAAACAGTGATTTGTTCGGAAAGACTATTTGGGGTGTACATAATCCTCAGCCTGAAGATACTTGAGATGCAACCTTGCATCTGGTGTAAGGAAGGAATGTTGAGGTGAGTATGGGCTAAGAGTTGTAAGCAGGCCCTAGCAATTGATTGGGGGAGGGGAGGCTGTCTGCGTGGTTTCTGTGGCTCCTAGAGGCTCTTGGTTTTGGCACCCTGGAGGTGGCCATCTTGTTCTTTGATACATCTACTAGAGGTATCAGATGGTACCAACAAAGGTCAAAGTCTCCTTTGAGTTGTCAGATATAAGAGGTAACTTATGACCCCCTCGTTTTTTTTTAAAGTGTCTGGCAGGTGAAAGCTTTCTTCTATTAGAGGCTTTCAGCTCTGAAACAGACTAAAGTGTGGAAATCACTGGTATACCCTCAGAGGCTGATATTCAGGGGAGAAATCAAGCCTTTGGGGGGGGGCAAAGGCAAGCCCTGTATATTCTTTGCACTTGGATGGGACATGATTGAGGCATCGGAGACAACTAGGCTATGTCTACACTTGCGGCTTCTTGCATGAGAAATATGCACGAGCCTAAGTGTGGAATGAGCTGCCACTTTTGCTGAAGAGGCTCTTGTGCCAGAAGGAGCTGTCTACACTACCCCTTTCACAAGAAAAACCCTCTTGTGCAATGCTGTTATTCCTGAAAATAATTGGCATAACAGCATTGAGCAAGAGGTTTTTTCTTGCGCAAGGAGGGGTAGTGTAGACAGCTCCTTCTGGTTCAAGAGCCTCCTCTGCAAAAATGGTGGCTCATTAGGTATGCAAATGAGGCTCCATGATATTCCATGCTTAGTCTCATTTGCATATTTCTTGCTGGCATTCCACATTCTTAAGCATAATCTGGGTAAGTGCTACAGACACTGAATGGACAAGAATTTGAGAGAGGCCGAATCCCTAGCACAAAGTTGTGCAACAAAAGGGAAAAAAACCCCAACCCAATAAATAGGCCAGGAAGCAGCATTGTAGTTGCAAAATAAGTAGTGATAGGTCTGTCTCCCTGTGTGCTTTTTACCTAGGACTATAAGACATGGTGTTGCACAAGCATCTCCCCCAGTGCAGCTGTGTGCTGGTCAGGAGTGTGATGTGCATGCATGTCTGACAGCAGCACTTAGAAGGGCACATACTAAACAAGTGTATTCTGAATGCCAATTGAGGTGGCTGCTCTCTCCTCTGCATTGAACCAAGGGGGAGGACATTTTACCAGTCTTGGAGAAATGGAGGAGAGAGAAAATCTGGGGAGAGGACAGAGAGAAACTTAAGGTTTCAGTGCAGGCCATTAGATCCCCTTCCGTACCTTTCACCAAGAACAGAATTCTACTGTGATTAAAATAAACTCGAAGTGGAGGTTGCTTATGTGTAATGCACCTGGCAATTTAGCATTCCTACTCCTACCTTTGTTTCAAAGACAAAAGATTAAGGACTTTCAGCCTTCTAAGGCACGGATGGCCCTGTATCATTCCCAGACAGTTTGGTCATATTTTTTATTTTTTAATAAAATGGATTTTTTCCAAATATTTGTAACTGAAAAAATAATTCAATGTAAGGAGCCATTCTCTCCCCGTTAACTCTTCACTCTTGTCCTTTCCAGTTGAGTGTTCATGCTGGAGCCTGTAGTCTTAGATGATGTTGCTCATCCCTTGCTGGTGCTGCATAGTGGAAGGGAGAGTGCATGCTAATCAAATATACATTTTATCAACAAGTAGTGGTTACAGCAGAAAGATTTAGGTTACATTCAAGAGAGGCAGAACATCAGGCTTCTGTTTTTCTGGGTGTGATGCAAAGGGTGTGTCAGGGGAACATCTCCAGGAGTACAGAGAAGTGAATTATTCTGCTTGTCTGCAAGGACCTCTGTGTCACTCTGTGTGAAAAAGAACCAACTGCTCCCCCCTCCCCAACCCTGCACTGAGAAGCATCACCAGCAAATGGGGGCCCAGCTCCCTGGCACTAGAAAACCTCACTTTACAGCCTGGGGGCAGAAGTGGGGGAAAGGGGAGGAGAGTGATCTGGCTCTCTCTCCCATCCACCTGGGAAACTGATGCCACCTTCCTGCATTATCTCATTGCACTTTGATTGCTTGTTTCTGCTTAACTTTTTTATATTTAGGTTCTTAGTTGTAGGAAAAAAATTCCATCCTCTGCACAGGGGTGGGGGGAGGGCAGTGGTCACTGTGTTACATGTAAAAGCAGCTCCCTAAGCCATACTGATGAGGAGTCTAGTTTTCTCACACTCCCCCTCCAACAGTGGAGCCGTTAGATTAGGCCAGAAGCCACTGCAGCCTGGGTCACAAGGGTTTGTTCTGCATTATACACAATTTCTTTAACCCAAGAGCCCTGGGCAAGTGTTCAGGTAGATGGAAGTATACAGTATCCAAAGGTTGAAGTGATATGTAACATGCTGGGCAGAACAGCTGCAGCGGTATCAGCCCCCTAGGGAAAACTGGTTATTTCTACTGCCCTGATACAAACTAGACAGCCCCACTAGTGGTACTGAGCAGGCTACTCCAGGCCACAGGAGAGAAGCCTGGCACCAGTCTCAGCTTTAGCAGTCCTGGAGGGGTAAGAGAACAGGCTGCACATGGCTTCTCCAAACACCACTGGAGTACAGAAGGAAAAAGCTGCATGGTAGGGCACACAGCAGCAGCACTGACTTGTGTATACAGCAGCTAAACACAGACTAATAGAAAAAGGCAATCTCCTTGAAGAGCATGTGCAATAAGGCTAGAATCACTAAGCCATGGCCTGATTCCATCTGCTCCCCAAACCATACAGCATTGAAATACCAGCTTGCCCACCATACGGAAGAGAAGGGGCTCTAGCAAAGCAAGACACACTCCCCTGCTGTGATTCAGGTTCACCCTGCCCAGCTGCCACTTATGCCTTGACACACAGTATGTGGGATGTAACTCCTCCCCCACCAAGAACAGCTCGAGGGGGATGTACACGTGTACAAAAATGCTTTCTTAGTGACTAATAAACAGCAGGTTCCAAGCAGCAGGGCAACCTCTCCCCTCCATGCTGGGGCATGTCTGTGTCCAGGTACAAAAGGGACAGAAGCCAGACAGTGCGATTATACTGCCATGATATTCAGCTTGGACACTGGGTGCATTTGCAAGGGGGAACTGAAATCTTAAGGGGACTCAGCCCTTGTCTGTCCTATCACACAGGTTGGGGGAGGAGGATTTACTTGTTCCTATTTGTTTCAAAACCATCAACTCCAGCCTTGTTCCTCTGAAAGCAGCTTCACCAGCCAGGTTCTCTACAAGAGCCCCATTGACCACGGTGACTTCTGACCACTGCCATACACAGCAAATCTACCTGCTTCCCAGAGGGCCAGCACCCATCTAGGGCAGAAGAGGCAAGGATCCAAATAGTTTAGCTGGCTCACTTTGTAAGATATGGTGAATGACCATCACTGACCAGAGACTAGATCAGCTTAGAAGGGGACTTGTGAATCTACAGGCTAAAGCAGACCCTCCAAAGCTGCTTGAGGTGGCCATTTCTAGTCCATATAAAGTAAGCTAAAATCCCCATCCCATTGCAGCAGAAGGAGCTCACAGGGTTACGTTAAAAAAGTGGTGGTGAGGTGAGACTGGCGGTTCAATTTCTAGTAAGAAAATTGATTTTTTTTTTCCTTTTTATACCTCTGAGCCTGAGGAAGGGGCACTGAGGCACAGCAGGGCAGAGAACTTCCTGTCATTGTATCAGCTTTAGGGATGCCAGAGAATAACATACCACACCTCTCCCCATCCCTGCTCCCCAGAGAGGGGCCTGTGCCATTGCCCTGCCCTGCCCGGAACCATCCGCCACTAATGCCCAAGCACCTTAAGCACAGCTGGCCCTCACGCTTTTGGCTTCCCTCTCCCCTTCTGTTTGGTGAAGTGCTGCAGCAGCTGTCCTCCAACCCTTCCTCGGGGGAGCAGCAGCAGGGAATTGTCCCTCACCTCCCCCAACTCCTCGCCGGGCAAAAAGCTGTTCAGCTGAAGCCAGGAGGCAAATTTCACCTAAAAACAGCCCAAGCTGCTGGTCTCTACTAGCCCACAGCACGAGGAGGCTCCCTCACTCCCAGCTTGAGCCACCCAAAGGCTATTTTTCCTAGTAAACCTGGGCTTGCATAGACTGGTGCTATTACCCTGACAATAGCGAGCTTGGGCAGAAGAAGCCAAGGGCCTGTTGCAGCCTCAGTGCTAGAAGACCTAGATTCTCATCCCTCCCCAGCTCTGTGGGAGACCTGGGACTCCCAACACGAATTTAGCTCTTTTATGCAGTTTTGGCCAAAGTCTCCTGTGGGGCATGAACCCAGCAGCAGGCTTCCCCTTTCCTGTGCTGTGCTGTAGCCATGACTATTCTCCACGCTGCAGAGGACACAGCTCACCCTCCTCCACCCACCCCCCCATCCATGCCAAAGCCCCACACACAGCTAAAACCATACATACCCTAGGAGATGCATACTGGGATTCTAGGCATGTACTTGCTCTAATGAGAGTAACAGCAGCTCAGACCTGGGAATCAGCCAAGTAATCTCCTTCCACCTGAGTGACAGGAAGCTCATGAGCCCCTTTGCATGGGCTCTCAGTTTTGTGCTGAAGTGCCCTGTAAGCTCCTGTGGCGATAGTTACTGCACTTTGTGGCTCAAGACCAATAAGCAGCTAAGCTGGGTTTCCATTCATCATCTCCTTCTCCCCGGGTGGTGCGAAGGGCTACCACAGGGCCGCTACGAAGCAAAAGCCCAACATGCTAGAGGGAGGGTATATGTCTGTGCACGCACGGCTGTGGCATTAGAGCTCCCCAGAGGAAAGGGTGCTCTGCCTGAACATTACCTCATGTAGCTCTCTCCCCACCAGCCACACATCAGATCCTAATCGTCCAGACCCTTGTACTGCCTCTGGTGGAAGGTGGCTTATTGCCTGCGCATCCCTTTGGCTTGAAGTCTCTCCACTAAATGAAAATGGCCTGACAAGGCTGCCCAGTGGCCCCTCACTCCCCTCAGTGCTCTAGGGAGCACCCCCCCTTCCTTAGACAGCCACTGGGAGGAATAGCAGAGCTGCTGCCTAACACAAGGAGTCCCTTTCAGTGCCTGCTCACCCCTCCACCCTCCCAGAACAGCATAAACCCCTTTTGTTGCCTAATTGCTTTTAGACTGCCCCATGCCACTTCCCTCTCCAGCTTCTCACAGTTGAGTTGCAGAGATTCAGTCCCACTACTCCTGCAAGCTAGGGGAGCCCCTGCCATGCAGTGATGTTATTTCTCTTGTTCAGAGCAGGGGTCTAGGTAAGGAACCAGCCAGTCTCAAAACCCTCGTCCCTTGATTATAATTACTGCGCTGGTCTGACCTGCTGATGGTATTCCCAGTGAGCACAATGACCCAACAACTGCTGTGCCAGCCTGTGGCTATGGTATGAGTTTCACTATAGGAGGTCCAAACTGGGTGGTGGTGGTGGTGGTGGTGGAGGGGCGGGGAGAAGAGTTTACACTCAAGGGGCTCATTTTTGGTTGATTGGCCTCTTCCCCCCATGCCAGTGCCTTCCCCCCCATTCCCTTCAGTCACAGTTCAGAGAGCTACAAGCAAGAATCCCAGTGCAGCTGCAGATCATGTCCATCAAGGAAGTCTGTGGAGAAGAGGCTGGGGACTGCAGTGCTTAGGGGAGCAAGGCTCATGACAGGACCCCCCGGAAGCTCCAACCAATCCATGCTGTCCAGGTTAGCCTCTGCTAGGTCCAGGGCTAGTCCCCCACTAGGCTCATGGGCAAAGTGCAATTCTGACGTGTCCATGGGTGAAGGTGGGTGGTCCAGAATAGCTGAGCTGCTCAGCATCTCACTATGGAGGTCATCTATCAGGGACAAGGGCTCAGTCCCATCGTGGCCTGCTGGCAGAAGCGGGAGGCCAGTGCTGCTCTCCAGGAAGTCCTCCAGCCGGCCTGCTATGACAGGTATGCAGCTGGTATGGCCAAGGGACATCTGCAGGGGAAGCTCAGAGGAATGGTGGCTGCTGGGTGGTGAGGCACATGCGGGAGACACCAATGTCTCCTTCGCAGCTGGGGATGGCTGCTCCTTGAAATCAGCTGAAATCTCTGTCAAGAAAGAATAGAGAGGCCCAGGGTGATGAAAGTATCCAGCTAGTGAGAGTCAGATCCCTCATGAGCTACAGCATCATCAGCCCCAGCGCTGTGGGCCACCCAAAGATCACCAACAAACAGGGTCAAGAAACCTCTCCCAGTTACACATTAGGCTGGGTTAGGGAAGTTCTAAACCGGCCTCACAGGGAGCCATCGCTGGCCAGGGCCATGTGAGGGGAGTTCAGCCCAGCACACCCACAGGTCTGATGCAGTGCAGCAGCTCCAGCTTTATGATATATGATGCTAGTGCCTGACCAGTCCATTTCGCATGCCATATCCTAGCCTGCTTTTTTAAGGATGGCACCAAATGAAGAATACGCAAGGGCCCAGGCCAAGGCAAGATCAATCTCGAGAGCCCTGCTCCCTGTAGAGGAGCCAAAGAGTGGGAGTCACACGAGCTCAGTGCTACCCAAGCCACAGATTCAAACGCAGAGGTAAGTAGCCAGCAGCCAGAGGGCTCATAGATTCTCTCCTCACCTCCACTCTCGATGAGGATATCAAACAGGTCATCCATCTGCTGGCTCGAACAGCCATTCTCCTGGGAAGAGAGTGTGACAAATTAGACTCATACACACAAGAAACATCATCATTGCCTATCTGCTGGTCCGGTCCTTCTCCTTCTCTCACTGACTTGGTAGGATGGTGCCTATAGCAACATGGTACCAATGGCTTCTATCACCCCATAGTGGTACTGGACACAAGGGTGTTCACAGCCACATAGGGTCCTGCAGCCACACTATGCCCCTGTATTATTCCTAAGGATATGTCTACACTGCGGCTGGAAGGCATAATTCCTGGCGTGGGCAGACGTACTTTTACTAGCTGTGGTCAAAGTAGTGAGCTAAAAGTAACAGTGTAGCCTCAAATGCATGGGCAGCAGGACCTTGGATTTGATTGTCTTTAGTTAACTGAATCCCTCACAGCCACACTGATTGTTTTAGCATGCTTGTTCAGTAAGGCTAGTGTGTATATCTATACAAGCTCAGAATTATACCTCCATCTGCAGTGTAGACTCCCCCCAAACAGGGGGCAATCTTATCTCAGGTGTATGGGCCAAGCAGTGAAAGGGAAGGCTGCTCCAATCCCAGTGAAACGCCACTCAGGGAATTCACTGTGACGCCATGTGTGCAGCTCAATATCAGTTAGAAGGCCCCTTGTGTTTCAGTCTTTCCATTTCCTAGGCCCTTACACCTGAATTCTGGGACCAATGTGGGTGCTGTATTTTCAGACAGCAGCTCTCTCACATGCTGCCCAAGATGTTCCTCATGGAAGCAAAAGGAAGTGGCTGCTCTTACCTCATGTGGCTTTGGCTGTTGCTTCATGGCCTCTTCGTAGCCTGGTGGCTCTTTCATCAGTACCGAGGAGACAGGGGGAGGAGGTGGAGGAGTCCCATAAAGAGGCGGCTGCGGCTGCTCAAGGTCCATCTGGGATGGGGAAGAAGCAGCAGGAGAGCCTGGCTGTGAGGATGACTGTTTGGAATAAAGGAGCAAGGAGTGAAAGCCCATTTCATCTGTCACATCATGAATACTCCCACATACCATGGAACAACCATCCCTTCTCCTCTGCTAAAGCTGGGCAGAAAGCTGCTTTGCTCCTGCTGTCAGGATCTCTGCTCCTTCTTTACTGTGTGCATAGTACCTTCCTGCTCCAAATCACAAATGAAAAGCTGCTGCTGAAGCACCCCAAGACACAAACCATCACAGGACTGCATTGGGGTGAGGAGAAGCCCATTGTTTGGGTGGGTGGATTCCCTCAGCACGTCACAGAGACATAAGAGGACTATCCCCACAGTATTTGCAACATGCTCTGTTTGCTACAGTCTAGAACCATTATTTTACCCTTTCATCTCAATAATGAGTCTGCTTCTGAAACACAAAACTGTTCACAAAACACTGGCTGTGGAGAAGTCAGCAGGATAGGGTCAGACCTCATAAATTTAGCAGAGGAGGTGATGACAGAACTCAGAAGACACATCTCCAAAGGAAACCCATAGTATTACAGGAAGTGGTGTTGGTGACTCAGCACTGAATCAATGCCACAGAAATGTACAAAAAACACTGTGTTAAGGCCTTAGCCTTTACCACGGTCATTAACATCCATTCCATAGCTTGTTAGAGTAGGAATAATGACCCAAGTATCCTGGAGGAACTTCAGCTCAGATAGTTATACATGCTATCTCTCAATCTCTCAGTTTCATTTGGGAAGGCTTTTTTAATTTTTCCCTTGCTGTACCATTGTGAGCAGCAATGCTGGCACAGAGAAGTGATCCCTGGATAGTCAGACTCCCTTAAGAGTCTGTTCCCTCAATGTGAAATGGCCTGTAACCTGACACTGTTACATGGACTGCACAGGATTTGCTGGTAAACTACCTTTTTCGGCACACTGGGTTGGTTGGCTTTGCCAGGAGCACCAGTTTTCAGGGATCCTTTGTGGAAGCCATTGAGGAAAAAGGGCTGCAGGTTTGGAGGTGCTGAGAAAGACAAAATTGTTTGGGGCAGCTGCCCAGTGACCACCTGCAGACCTGGCTTCTGAGCCTACAGGGAGACAAAAGAATTAAGAGAGCTACAAACCCCTGCATGGCATGTAAGCTAAGATTAGTCACCGATTCTGGCATGCCTACAGAATGCAACTCTTCAATGGAAAAAGATTTTTTTAGTCAAAACCATTCAACTCTGTATTAAAAGCCTCATCAAACCTATAAACTGACCCTAGAGCTCAAACACCCAGCCCAGGATGGAGAGAAGCTCTGACAACCCCAGTGCAGTAACTGCCTTTTGATTTCAGTAGGAATTCTCAAGGGGGGCACAATCTGGCCCTTTGTTTACAATCACTTTGCAAAGACTCTTTCACACAGCACTGAGTGATTAAGAATACATCTACACAGCAAAGAAAAACCTGCCGACTGGGGCTCGCAGGGTGCATGCTGCAGGGCTGATTCATTGCTGGATTGCTTTCCACACTTGGGCTGAAGATCAGGCTCTACCCTGCAGGATCCACATTTTTCTTTGCTGTATAGACACCCTGAGGGCCAGAGCTACATTGTCAGGGAGTCTCAACCATTCTTCAGGCCATGAATCCCATGTTCAATCTCCTCAGATGCATCCCAGAATCCTGCGCCTCGGTGCCTCTAGCTCTTTTGTAGGAGTCACTACAGGAAATTGGTCCAAGAGTGTTTGGTGCTTCTGACACCCCAAGGAGAACTGGTTGGTTATAAGTGGTTATGCAAAGCTGCTTCAGCAGAAGACTGGGGATATGAAATCAGAGCACAGAACCATCTCTCCCTTCAGCCCTCCCCACCCAACACACACGTGCTGGGAGCTCGCAGGCCAAGAACCAATGCACTATGCCAGGGGCTCTTAAACTGTGGGTCAGATCCCCAAAGTGCATCATAATCCCATTTGAATGGGGTCACTAAGCAAGTCTGAAGCCCAAGCCTGAACCCTACTGCCCAGGACCTAAGGTTACATGCCTCCACCCCCTCAGGTCAGATGCCTTTTGGTTTCAGCTTTGGTGCCGGGGTGGCAGGGCATGGGTGAACTATGGCTTGGTTCCCTCTCCTGGGGTCACATGTATTTTTTGTTGTCAGAAGAAGATCACGGCTGCACTCCACAGTTGCAACCTGTGATGGTGCAGGAAGCTGCCGTGCAGTGGGGTCTTTCCCTCTGTAGTGATGGTTTCAGAAATGATTTGTCCATGTGCGCCCTTCCCCCAATGGCTCAGCCAGCCACCAGACGAAGGGAAAACAAGGAAGGAATGGAAGCATGCGCTCAGCTACCTTCCTGGTGGTCTGGTTTGGTGGTCTGGGAGGCTGCTGCTCCTGTGAGGGCGAGTTGCTTGCAGGAAGTTGACACTGTGGTTGGCTGGATAGTTTAGTGGGTGATGATTGTACTCTCTGAGAAGGAAAGAAGAATGAAAACAAAGTCACTCACTGTATTATCTGAGGCGGTTGTGAAGGTAGAGACGGGTTTTAGTTTTTCTGAAAATACAATGAAGTCACGTGGGATTTCCCAACCCGTACATCTCTAGGAAATTCACTTGTTAGTTTCTCCCAGCAGGACATTTGGAACAATGACAACCAGGGTTGCCACTAAGATTTTCCATCCATGAGCGGAGTGAGTTTCGTCTTGTGCGCCAGTGAGGTCATGTGTGCTTGTTTGGATATGTCTCACTGTGGCACCCACCAGTGGTGCTGCCCCCACCTCCCCCCCACCTCATGGTGAGACTCTCCGCGCTACTCCCTGGGAATCCTGTGTACAGGGCGAGGACTACCCCAGGCTGCTCCTCATGGGGCTGACTGAGTCCCCACCTGAGGCAGAAGGAAGCTGTTGCCAGCACCCTGGGTTTGCAGGGAGTGAGGTGCTGGAGGTGGAGCAGTGACACGTGGGGAGTGGGGGGCAGAGAGCTCTGAGGGGCAAAAGAGGTGCAGGAGCGGGGAAGAGAGGTGCGGGCAAAGGGAAGAGAGGTGCAGGGGGCCTCAGCCCCAGGAGCAGCCATACCACAGCCCGGCTCCAGCTTGGGGCAGCCGCCACGCAGCCCACCCAGAGAGCAGCCAGGAAGCTACTATGCAGCCCTGCCCATAGCTCCAGCCCCGGGGAGGGGCTGGAGCTGGCCCCGGCCATCT